GCTGTTTTCATTTTTTGCCCCTTGCCCCTCACAAAATTTTATGGGCTGTCTAAGTGATTTCAGTACTAATTTCTCACTTTTGGAGTGAACTTTTGAAAGGGTTAATGAGGATTCTTTGCATCTTTTGAGTGGGAATTGTAATTTCAAAAGTTTCTCTACGATCTGACAGAGTTTTCTCAATTTTCAAAAAATGAAAATTTTGTCACCAAGTAGCACTCAAATTTTGGGAAGACACAAACTTATCTAATTTCTGACTGATTCATTACTGTTCCAAGCAAAATGAGCAAATCTGGGTGGTTTTGACTAACATTTTGAAAAGAGAAGACTTTCCAGCAGGGCTTCAAAAAAATTAAAAAAATATTTTTTTGTATAATTTTTAAAAAGAGCTAAAATTGTTTTTTTTTTCAAAAATATATGAAAATCAGAAATTTGTTTTTCAAAAACTTCATAACACATTTTGAGACTTTCAGAGGGACCAGAAAAAAAAAACAAAAAAGAATTCGAGAGAGCGGGATCGAACCTGACCGTAGTCAGTTACCTTCCTCTCCCTAGGTACCGAGGGGCACAAAAAAAATTATCCCGTCACGTCCGAAAGTATATCTGTACCAATTTTGAAAAAAATCCCAAGTGGTTATAGTTATAGTTCATTATAAATATAGTAAATTAATTTTCCATTCCCTTGGTCCGTTGATAACATTTACTGATTTATCTACCATTTTCCCATTCCGTATTTTCTCTAATTGAAGTCCATGGGTTTCTATTTTTCAACCTCCTTTTCAGAAAATTACCAAAAAACTGAAATTACCAGAAATTTCTTAAAATAGAGAAAAAATGTCTGCAATAACCGAATAGACTAACTGAATTGTTCAAACTGCACGAACTGAACTGCATGAATTTCTGTTAGAGTGTGAGCTTCTATGTTTTTAAGCACTTCGGAGGGTGGGCTTCTATTAGAGATGGGCTTCAAATAGAGGTGGGCTTCTATTAGAGGAAATACGGTAGCTTTGTTGTTCTCTGCCGGTTTGTGTATTTTTATTTTCTAAAAACTTTTTTTCATTGTGTCAAGATCAATTTTTTTCATAAACAAATTTCAGATGGGTTACCGATCGTGGGTCTTGCCGCCAAAGTTGCCATTTGAAATTCGTCGTGTGGTTCCACCAAACGTGAATCGGCATGGTTTGACGAAAGAAGAAATTTTCGTTATCACTTATGATCATGTCAAAAGAATCGTTACGAGAACAAGCAGGTTCGAGGAAAGTTTTTAAAATGTTTCAAATCATAATAAAAATTCAATTCTTTAGTACGTCATTTTCGATTTGCCGGAAGACCCGACTCAACTTCAAAAGAACCTCATTTGGCCGTTGTACCTCTCAGTTCAACGAAAAAAGGACAGATGCATAAAAGTTCTCATCAGCGGTAACGAGCGCGTGGAGGATTTAGAGCCGTTGGTACGGGAGATGGAAAGGCACGAAGTGGATACTCCGCAATGGCTATTGTAAGCAGCCCAACTTTTTTCTTTGACAAACAATTTTGTATTCAGGGATGAACTCAAAATGATCGATGAATCGTTGTACTGTATGTCTCTGCGGTGACACAGACCTTCCCCATTCTTTGATAATGACAATGATGTCACTTGTCGCAAATATGGAACCCTTTTTTTGCACTTTCAAGATTGTTTTGGACCTGATGACTACGACGACGACGACTACGACGCCGTGAGACGGCCAGTAAAGAAAACAGGCCTCAGTGCAACCTACCCACCTGGATATTTGGATTAGTAAATTGACGGTTTACTGCCTCGTCCCTTTTTCTGTTTTCGAAATATGTTATCAACGACTTTCCTTTCATTCTATCTATGGTTTTTTTTTGTAAAATATTTTCATTATTTACAAATTACTTTCCCAGTATTTTTATCCAAAAACGTGTGCGAACCACTTCTGTCATTTTGGCGTTTTTTTTCGATTCTCAGTGTGTCGTCTTCTGCATTTGTACATTAATTTATCGTTTTTTGATCATTCTGCCTGCTCAAGTAATTTTTTTCTGTATTTCGCATTTTCCTTCATTTCATTTTGTTTCATCATCGTTTCATTTTCATCCATCTACCAGCATTTTCCTCCTATCTATGAGCAATAAACTTCTTTATTGATAACTTCCTTAATTGTTCTCAGGTATATATTGCTGCTTAGATCCATTTCCTAAAAATTTTTAACCTCTTCTCTTCGTTTTCCAATCCGCCTTCTCGCTAAACATTTGAAACATGGGCTTTTTCCTTCTTCTTTTTTTTCTGTCCCATTTTCTATGAGGACGGCAAAAAATAGAACTGAGGCAAATGAGATTACGAATGTGTTCTCTCTTTTCTTGCTGCAGAGTGTCAAGTACTGCGGGACCGCTGGCAAAAAAAGAAATGTATTTGTAGATTTTTTCTATAAATTTTTATATTTTTTTCTAATTTATCAGCAATAAACGCTATAGACTAAAACAATACTTTTTTCACTATTTTCAGGTATCTTTCACAACTGATATCATTCGTGTTCATTACATCACCAATGAAAAATATAGTAGGCTTATTTTTCTGAATCTTTTCTCTTCATTTTTCATTTCGTTTTTCTAGCTGAACATTTGCAGCATTAGCTCCTTTCTTCTTTTTTTTTCTGTCCCACTTTCTGTGAGGACGGCAAGAAAGATTACTAATGTGCCCTTATTTTTTATGCTGCAGAGTGTCAAATACTTGTGCCAAGCGGGACCGCTGGCACGCTGTGCCAAGGAAAAAAAACTGAAGAAAGTTGATGATGAAGAGGGTGGCAGAACTGAGCAAGAGTGTATGGGCGGCTCTGAGGCCAACCAAACCACTGATGGGGAAGGAACAAAAATTTAAAAAAAGAAGCAAAAAAAAGAAAATGTGGAAAATGTTGTGTTCTCGGTTTTCGACACAACCGCGGAGAAACCAAAAAGAGGAAATCAATCTTGAAACATGGGCAACGGTATTGGTGCACAAGAAGAATGGGCACAATTTTTGAGAGCGTAGAAAGGATCCATCTTCATAAATTCGATCAGGCAATGTAACGCTGATTGGTGATTTAAAAAAAACCTATTTCTGGCTGACCAATATCTTTAGGACCCCTGGAAAATTCAAAATCTTGGCCATTTTTTGTTGAATTTCGCCTTTAACCTGAAAATAATTTTCAGTTTCATGCTTTTTTGGTACATTTTATAAGCATCTCAAAAAATTTTCATAATTTGTTGACTTTCCAAATTACCATATTCTCCTAATTATAGAAAAGTGACCCAATATCTGGAAAACCACATTGTCTGTAAACAAACAAGGCTCTGACTGCGCCCCCAGTACCTGATTTAACTTCCCAACATCATATTCTGTATGTTCCATGTCCGTTCTCTTTGAATAGTTTGAATTTTTTGACTAATTGGGTCACTTTCACAAAAATACCCAAAAATTAGGAAAAATTGGAAAAACGGATAAATTGGAAAGTTGACAAATTATGAAAGTTCTATGAGATACTTATGAAAATGTATCAAAAAAGCACAAAACTAAAAACTGTTTCCAGTTTAAATGCGAAAATTCAACAAAAAATGGCCAAGATTTTTGAAGGGGGTCCTAAAGATATTGACCGCACTGTGTAATAATAATTCCCCATTTTTTGAATCCATCCCCTTTATTTCTGTATTAGTCTTCTTTGCTGAACATTTGAAACATCGGCTCCTTTTTCCTTCTCTTTTTTTTGTCCCACTTTCTATGAGGACGGCAAAAAGATTACTAATGTGCCCTCATTTTTTATGCTGCAGAGTGTGAAGTTCCCGTGCCAAGTGGGGACTCTGGCACGTTGTGCCCGATGGCCCGAGGACGAAAATGTTGTGTAAGCAGTAGAGAAAATGTGTTCTTGAGTGGGTAAGGTTTGGAATGCAATCACGAGGAAACGAGAAAAAAACAGAGAAGAAGAGGAAGTTGATGATGGTCAGGGTGGCAGAACAGAGCAAAAAAAAGAGTTTATGGGCAACTCTAAGGCCTAGGGAACTATTTATGTGGAAGGAAAAAAAAAGAAAAAAGGAAATGGGTTTTTGAAACATGGTTAACGAGATTGGTGCGCAAGAAAATTGGGCTGAGAGCTTAGAAAAGACCAAACTTCACAGATCCGTTTTATCGGTGCAATTATTTTTTGGAAATCTCGAAGAAACAAAAATTCACACGATGAATAATGAATTAGTTGGAAATGAAGTTATGGGTTCTGTGATCTAGCTGAATCTTTGTTGGATTTGATTGAAAATTTCGAGAACTGCGGAAATAGTAAAAACCGGAGGTCTTGAAGGTCGAAAATGACGAAAAATATAATGTAACAAATTCGAAACATTAGAAATTCCAAAATATATTTATTCAGACCTCTGTTATCAAGAAATTGGGATATTGGGAAATTCTGAAATCTAGAAATGCGGAAATTTCAAAAAAACTGAAAATTTTTTAAATTTGGAATTTTCAGAATCTAGGAATTTTGAAAATTCAGTGATTCGGATATTCAGATGTCCACAAGTTTTGGGAAGTTTGAAAATTCTGAAAATACAAATACTCAGAAACTTGGAAGACAGGAGGCTAAGCAGGTCGTTTACTAAGTCAATGTATATTCTTCGCTTTCTTTCTGTACTTTAAACTGAGTTTTCAGATTTCTTACGAATACAACAACGCCGATATCTCACTATGCACCGGATGAACCCTGAAAATCCCCATAGGTCAAGTTCAGTTTTTTCGGTCATAACTGGAACTGATAAACTCCCTAAAAAACATTCGAAAAGAATGATCAACATATGATCGTTTATTCGAGAAGCCGGGATTCGAACACGGGGATCAAAAAAATTAACTATTTCTAGTTCAAGCAAATGGACATTGAATGTGTGAAAGAGGGAAAAGAATGGACACTGTATGTGAAATTAGTGCGAAAAAAATGAATGTTGATTGTATCAGACTAGAGGTTCCGGCAGAAAAATGTTGGCAGTTATTCCAAGTTGATGGGGTGTTGGTTGAACTTGAGGAAATCGTTGAGGGGTTTTGGGATGTTACATCCGCTTCTCTTACAAAGGCATCTCAATGATGTCTGGGCCTTCTTGGTTGGGCCTTGGAAGGAGAAAGCCTAAAAATGTGAAATTGAATTCTAATTCGAATGATAGTAGTTTTTACCTCCTGAGAGCAGATACTGAGAACGGCGTAGTTTCCCGTTCCTTCGGCGAAGTGGTTCTCGAACTTTTCGTAGTTGTCTGATTCTAAATCGACTCCGTTAACAAAGGCCTCCGATTCGTGAATTGGGTTGAACATAATGGAACAATATTCGTAGATCGGTTCCGATAATTTATATCCTGCTGCTGGGTTCTCGAAGTTTACTGGCTCCCAGCATGCATGCAGGGTCTTGGCCTGACGAAGAGCATCCGTTTGGGTGTTCACGAAGTTCACGGAGTTGCACGAAGCCGAGATGACGAGGATACCGCACACGGCGAGTTTGAGTGAAGACATGGTCACCTCTATAAAAAAAACAATTGAAAACTCAGTGAAAAATTTAGAGAAAGTTTAAAAATGAAGAAATTGAAGATTTGAAGTTTTGAGAAGGAACGAGAGAACTGGACTGAGAGTTGAGAACTCAAATGGTCTTTTATAGAGAACGAAGCGACTCGATGGCAGAAAGGGCGGAGCAAACATTCGTACTTCGGAAGGGGCGGTGTTCCGAACGACGAAAGAATATTCTGAGGAATGGGTGGAGCTTATATCTCTAGTGCACACTTTATCTTCTTCAGACTAATAATTGAAATGGGAAAAATCTTATAAAAATTTTATTGGAATTGTAATAAGTCGTACTGGCTCCACGGCCAGCACATCAAATAAAAAATTATGAGAGAAACTACTTTCCGGACAAGAACCCGAGTCCCCTCGGGCGAAAAAAAGACGAAAAGTTCCCGGATTTTCTACACCAATGCATTCAAAAACGCACTTGATTGCATTATTCAGCGCCAACAAGCATTGAAACATGAAGTTGTGAAAAGAATTTTAAATTTGTTTCTCGCCGGAAGCATAGTTGACGCGCAGGGAACATGGTGAACTAAAAAAGAAGAAGAGAGCAAATTATCTATGCATCCTATTGAAGCTCTTTTCTCAGAAAGTTTTTGCGCGAGGCTAAAGAAAAGGGAGAAGCGAAGAACGTCATCCGAAGTTCATGCATAGCCACAAGGCTACGGTAACTCTTTTTGAAACGGCACGCATATAATTTTTGAAGAGGTTCCAAAGTTTGGAATCCAAACCGACCTTGACCTGTAAATATGTTTGGGTTCAATACTATTTTCAAGGGACATGATGGTTGAACAAATAATTTGATCAATTAAATTACGACCCGAGTATTCTTTTTCAAAATAAAAGAACAAAGTTCAAAACCATTTCATTAATTGGAATGGAAGATACTGAAAAACGCGAAATTTTCAAATGTGCCTCTGATTTTATTGTACAACATGTACTTTGACGAATCGGAAATTTCCAGTATAACAAATTTGGTTGAATCTAACTGAAGCTGAAAACTCAGGATTATCTGAGAGGAATACCGTAAAAAGTACAAGGACATATTTTACGTGAACTTTGAGCTCAATTATCTCAATACCTATGAGAGATATCAAAATTTTGTCACCTGATAAAATGTTTGTCAAAAAATAATAAACATTTTATCAATTGATAAATTTTGATTATCTTTTTCAGGTATTGAGGTAATTGAGAAAGAACGAGTGGCCTTTTTGATTAGAGTGTTCACGATATTTTCAAGCTTTGTAAAGGGTTTAATAAAGCTTTTGAATTTTCATCAGGGCTCAGCCAACAACGACATTCAAACAACTAACAATCTCCTGCTGGGTCCCAAAATAAATCGGAAAAAGATAAAATAAACAATGTTTGGTTTTATGCTCCGAAAACATTAGTGCTCAATTATCTCAACTTCCATAACAGTTCAAACATTTTTCAACTGATAAAACGTTGGAGGTATTATGACAAACATTTTACCAGTTGACAATTTTTGATATCGCTTATGAAAGTAGAGATAATTGAGCTCAAATTCTACGTAAAAAGTAGTTTTCCATTAGAGTTTTTACGCTATTTTCGAACTGGTGTTAGCTTTTGACATTTTCTGGATTTTCCTTTTTCTGATCTGACTTTTTAATAATTCGGGGTCTATAAATTGGCCATAACTCGTGCAAGGCATATGTGTTTCAAAAACCAAGTTCATTGTTAACTGACAGGTGTTTAACTCTTTTGAGGAAATGCCATGTTACTTTTCCCTCTTTATTCCCGTTTTGTTTCTGACAAACCCAATCAATCAAACCGACATATATGATTGAGGTTTGAGCAAGTCCGCTGACAGGACTTTTTTCTTTTTATATCTTCGAGTTTATGTTTCATGGCAATGAACAATCTGTCGGAAGAATGGACTATGATGTATTGAGAAAACCTTTACCAGCTTTTCAGGGAGCACGAAACCTTGTAGAATTATCCACCCGAAAACCTTCATGCTGAAGAGGCTGAAACTTGGCTGCAAAAAGATTGCCGGATATACGCAAGCCGTAATAATTATTCCAGAAATTCTGTAGCTTCTTTTAATGAGAATTCACACGTCAGATCCACTAGATTCACATTTCCTACATTAATTAAGATTCAATGGAAGAAATAATGAAGCTTAAAATAAATATTATACTTTCCGAGAGCAAACTTCCAAATGTTAAAGAATCATAGAATATTCGTATACATCTGAACATCAATATTTTCAACACACAAATGTCTAAAAAAGTTTCACATCTCAAATTTCATCGGAAGTCTGGGAATGAATGTCTGAAGACGTGTTTCTTTGGTTGAGGTCCATGATCGTTTGGTGCATAGACTATTTCCGTTGAAAAAAAATTATTCTAATTTTTTTTTCAGTGAATACCAAATAAACAATTTTATGGAATAAATGATTTTCCGAAAATTAAACAATTTTCCGAAAGATAAACTGTATAAAATAAACAATTCTTAAGAGAACAGTTTATTTCAAATGAGAACTTCTCAATTCTTGGTTTTGAGAGAGTGAAAGAGAACATGGGTCCGTTTTGAGAGCTTTCATCAGGGAGAAAATGAATCTATGACCCTCGGAGATTATAGTTTTGTTTGGAACGCAAAAAAACAATAGAATGCAAAAGCAAGAACGAGACATCTGTAAAAAAGTGGAGAGAATTATTAAAATTAAAATGTTTAAAAAATCTGTGATGAATAGAGTTCCTGTGATCTTTTCATAGAGTGGAACCATGGCAAGTCTCTTGAACAAATCTCTTTACTTCGCGATGGTGCTTTAATTTGAAACTCATGATTTTGGGTGGAGCCAGTTGCTTTTTATTGAAACAGTTTTGTCCGTTTAGTAGCTCAAAACAATCTTCACTTGGGATTCAGCCAAAATATAGTAACCATATTTTTCCTTCAACCTAATTTTTTTTGAATTTTCATTTCTCGGGATTTCAAAAAAGTTGTCGTATCTACGAAGCCTTATCGGATCTACGAAGTTTGGTATTTTCTAAACTCTTACAAAATTGAGCACATTCTTCTTGCGCACCAATCTCGTTACCCATGTTTCAAAAACCGATTTCCGTTTTGTTTTTTTCACGAATGTGCCGAACAACCGAGAACAAAACATTTTCTACATTTCTTTCTCGTCCTTTCACATTAAAAGTTCGTTCAGTCGTCTATACACACTTTTTTCTCAGTTCTGCTACCCTTTTCATCATCAACTTCCTCCTCTTCTTCGTTTTTTTTTCCTCGGAACAGCGTGCCAGCGGTCCCACTTGGCACAGGAGCTTGACACTCTGCAGCAAAGAAGAGAGGACACATTCGTAATCTCATTTTCTTCTCTTCTCTTTTTTGCTGTCCTTACAGAAAATGGGACAGAAAAAAAAGAAGAAGGAAGGAGGCAAAGTTTCAAACGTTACGAGGAAGACAGATGGAAAAATGAAGAGAAGGGGTTCAAAAAGAAGAGGAATGGAAACTGCATATATTTGTTGTTGCTGATTCAATAGATACAAAACTGTGACAATATCAATTGCTGAGGATACCTAGAATAACTAAGGATCAACATTGAATTACCGCAAAACCTGTAATAAAAGGGCCGGTCCTTCTATTTTTCCAAGGCACCTCCGAATGTGCCCCTTCTATTACAGGAGCCCTTTAATTAGAGAAGGCACTTCTATTTTTCCGGCCAGTTTTTTCCAAAATTTTGCATCAAAAAATTCGACAAAGTTTCGTTCAAAATTCTCGAAAATCTGCCAATTTCAGCAAAATTTAGCAAGATATACATTGAAAAATAGAGATTCAACAAATTTCTATTAAATTCTGAAGTTCCAGAATATTTTCCACTGAAAAAGTACGGAAATCTTATGATTTCAAAACACATTTTGAAGGGGTGTCCTTTTTCACAGAGGGCCCTTCTATTACGGGGGGCCCTTCTATTAGGTTGGCAGGAAAGTAACTGTCCATTTTTTTTATTAGTAAATAACACAAGCACAAGAATAATCCAGAATTAGCAATATGCACCGTCGTGATTCACAACATGTTGGCAATCTTCAGGTATCTTGTGGGATCCCTCCAAAAGCCGGCTAGTGGCAAGTCAAAGTACCCCTCAAGTCCATTTTTTCAGGCATCAATTGTGTTAAAGTCCTTAAGCTCCAAATGACGTCGTATACTTTTGAATAACCAATGGTCTGATAGAGCTGAATCAAGTCTTTAACGGGGGTAAAGGAGAACCGTCCAGCCAAAGCGGCTCAGGTACGGCGTGACTTTCCGTGAACATGAGGTTTTTTCATTTTTTACCTGCAGTCAAGTCAGACCTGAGCAGCTTCAGTGGGACCGTTCTCCCTCACCTACTTATAGTCCCGACTGAACTCTATCAGATTATTGGATATTCGGAGAGATAAAACCTCATCTAGAGAATACGAAAATTCGCACCATTTATGTGAAAAACAGGAAAAAATGAATACTTTGATTCGTGGCTAGCTGGCTTTTGAAGGTATTGTATCCACAAGTTATCTGAACATTGCCAACATGTCGTGGACCACGACGGTGCATACTGCTAATCTTGGATTAATCCTGCTTGTGTATTATTCACAAATAAAACAAGGGACAGTTACTTTCCTGCCAACCTAATATTACAGGAGCCCTTCTAATTCTGGTCTTACGGTATGTAAAATTGATAGAATGGATTGGAAAACAATTCTGTTGGCATAAATATGAAGATGATGAGATAAAAATAGATCTATGAAAATAGGGAAACGAGAACATTGGAATGGCTTAACGTTTGTAAAAAAAATATATGACAAATTTCCCAAAATCGTGCAATAAAACATTAACGTGGTGGTTCTGAATTCAAAAAAAAAATCAGTAAATAGAAAAAACAGGTAGAGTGTATAAATGTTTTTATAGAAACGTCAAAGACATTTTGAATGATAAAATTAGAAAAAAATACG